CCTGGTAACTTTCCACTGCTCCTACTTTCCCCCCTCCCTCCCGAGGGGTAAGATAAAACTGGTGTTCCAAGGATGCAGCTGCTCTCTGGCATAATATTGTGACCAAAGTACCCTCGTTTACAGCGAAGTGCCTTCTCATCGGCCTCAGTCTGGAGTGCATCTGCTGCGGGTCCTGCCAGCCATGGTGGGGCCACATACCTGTAGGCTTTCCATGGCGCGGTAATTTCATGATACAATTTCATAGTATCCACCTGAATTCACAAATGGTGCAGACAGATTCCCAGCTACCCACCCCCCTCCGTAGAGTTAGGCCTGTATTGTGAGACGCGTTTTAGAGAGGTTTGTCCGGCATCATTTCGTGAGTCTGTAGAGTCCAGGAGAGAACTCAAATGCAGAGCAAACAATTCTGAGAAAGTTCTGCTTCCCGGGGGCAGCCTCATGTGATGTACAAATGCCTGGGGGTCCCGGGGAACCCATCCACATGAAGGGGGCTATACGTACACTGGGGAACACAGCTCAGAGTTGGGCTCTGGACACTGCCTCGTGGTCACACCCAGTCTCCAAGCATGTGTAATACATGGACCCAGGGCCAATTTCTGCTCTCAGTCACACTGACGTACATACAGAGTTAACCCCATTGACTTTGATGGAGTCACACTAGAAATCTGGGTGCCTAGATGACACCTGCGTGGATGCTAGGTGTTACCATTGTCCTAGGTGGTAAAATGACCTGAGCTCTGTCTACAGTAGCGCGCCCGCTGCTGGAGCTGCACCAGTGGAAGAGAGCCTAATGCAAGCCATTCCCTGCCTTTCAGGGCACATCTCCCCTCCTTGGCTTGACCCAGGACAGGGGCTGCTGTTCTCAACCTGCGTAGTCCTGGCAGAATGGCCAGTGAGCGTTCTAGGAACACCGTTAAAGCCACATCAAGGCTGCCCAGCTATAGACAGAGGGTTGGGAAATGCACAAGTTCACGGAGCCGTGTTGTGTCTGGTGTGTTTCCTACTCCTGATCTGCTAGTCCGATGGTTACTGTTATCTATTGCACACGAGGGTATCCAGGGCGAGCCCTTTAATGTCTCTCTTATAACCTTAGCTACGGACAATTCCTGATGGGCAGAGATTGTAACCGTGCACCCGTAACGGATCCTTAACCTTGTTGTTGTTGTTAGTTTGTATTTTGGTCGCGCCGAGAGGCCCCAACTGAGATCAGGGCCCCGTTGTGCTAGGTGCTGTACATACAGGAGCTCACAGTCGAAGCACAGGGTCTGGATCGTGTCCTAGTGCAAGGCGGATGAGCAAGGTAGTAATTATTGCCCTCTCCCCCCCTTGCACAGCCCATGTCAAAGCCCAGCCCCACCCCAGGAGCATGGAGGCGAGGCTCTCCTCACCCAGGAACAACCCAGGGTGGAGAGGGAGCAGGCAGCAGGAAGACGTATGGCTCGCCCTCTCCCTCTGCACCACCCAGTAGTGGAACACGCCCCGCTCCATAAAAAGATGGTGCAAATTATTCTTGGAGCAGGGAGCCCTGGGAAGACTATGGCCTCTCTGAGGCACAGCGCCTCCTGGTATTCCTCTGGGGTGCCTTGCCTAGGCACCGCCCCTTCCTACGGTCTGTCTGCTAACAGCACAATCCAGCCCAGAGCACTTGTGTGCATGCAGCTCGAGGAGCCTCCTGCCAGTACCCATCAGCAAGTGCCACCAGCCACAGGCAGTAGTTTCAGTTCCATTAACACCGCCATTGAGAGTAATGCCTTGCACATTCTGGAGCCAGCCCGCTGGGCATCCCAGATCACCTTGGTAAGGTGGCAGTGTTCTTCATTCTGCCTTGTTACTCCTGAGGGGCGGAGCTGGGAAAACAACATGTTTCAGTGGTAGAGAAGCTCAGATTTTTTCCCATAGGAGCTCAGCTGAGTACATAAAAACGCAGGAGGGCCTTCTGCACTCTGCCTTCTGCTCAGTAATGCTGGGGGGAGAGAAAGAGGGGGCGCTCCGTGGGGAGACACACCCACCCTGGTTCACTGGGATTGGAGCTGAGCAAAGTATTCCCAGGAGACGATTGATGGGACCCGTTTCCCCATCACAAATGACCCACAAGCACACTTTGATCTCAGCTTTTCCCATGAACGGATTCCAGCCTGCAGATTGCCCCTGAACCATTCAGGTATTTGCTGTCCCCAGTTCAGCTGGCCAGACGTCAGTTCTGCCCCCACATTGGTTGGCACCCAAGGTCGTGCCAGCCCCTCTGCTGTACCAGCGTTCGCACCTTTGCACAGCTATCCAGGATGTTTTCCCTTTCTGTGGGCATTCTTGCAAACCAGTTTTTCCTTGCATGACTCTTTGCAGAAAGCAAATGAAAGGGACTGCATATACCATCAGTCACTGGACTGATAATTGTCACATAGATTTGTCCAGTTGTGGTTGGATCTGTAGGAGAGGAGGGAAGATATTCTGTCAAACCAGCTGCATTAACAGTACTGCTACTCAGCTGTGCCATAGCACCTCCCAGCTGTAGGGTGTAACTCACTTGCCAGACATTCGTTAAAGCCTCACACCGTTCCTGCATAGTAGATATTCTCCCCCTTTTACAGATGGGGAAACTGAGGCACGGAGCATTGCCGGGACTTGCCCGAGGTGTCACAGCAAGGCAGTGGCAGAGCCCAGAATAGACACCAGATCTCCTGACTCGAGGCCCTGCGCTTGCTGGAGACCAGTAAAAAGAGAACTGAGCTGCGTCGCTCTGCTGAAGTTGTTGCAAGGACCAAAGGGGAGGGCACGTTTTGGGGAGCCCTTTCAGTCATCAGCCTCAGCCCACAAGCACCCATTGGCATTACAGGGAATCAGAACGTTTAACCTCCTGTTATAACATGGAAGAATTAGTCAATATGATGTCTTCTTAGGAGGATGAAGTCTTTTATCCTTGTCGGGAGAGCGGAGTGGTCCAGTAGCTGGGGCGTAGTGTTGTGAGTTAGCAGACCCGGGGTCTGGTCTTAGACTCTGCCAAGGACTTGCTGTGATGCTCCGTGCCTCGGTTTCCCCATCTTGAAAATGTGCCTCGGTTTCCTCATCTTGAAAATGTGCCTTGGTTTCCCCATCTTGAAAACGTGCCTCAGTTTCCCATCTTTAAAAGGGGATAATGAGCCTGACCTCCTTTGTAGTGTGCCTTGAGAGGCATGGATGGAAAGCACTATTATTCAAACGTTAATCACTATGATTATTTTATGTATACACTTAAGGAATCCTCAACCAAAATGGCCTGGAACCGCCGTTCTGAAGATACCTGGCCTTTTCATTCCACTTGCAGAGCTCCTGTTAATGTCAGTGGGAGTTCTGTGTAGAGACCGGAGGAAGTCTTTGGCCTGTTTATATTCTGGTGCGGGTACAGAGACTTAAGGTAACTTTGGTGCTGTTCTGTTAGGCTGTGACTGCATTAGAAGCGTTTCAGCGGCATGACTGTAGCTGCACTGATGTAGCACTGCGGTGTAGGGGCTTATTTCAGTGCGAGAAGAATTGTTCTGTTGACCTCGGTGTGTCTACACTGGGGCTTAGGAGTGTGAATTTTTCATAACCCTGAACAGCACAGCTGGGGCAACTTCACTTTCTTGTGTAGACCAGCTCTTAGATTGTTGCCTTGAGACTTGCGTGGTAACTGCCATTAAGTGAGATTATAGAGCAGCAGCGGATACCGGGCGTTAGCATTTCAGGGCCTAATCTGAGCAGATAGGTAATTGCATAATGTACTCCAATGACAGGGCTGTGTACATGTAGCTTTAATTACTTAAAGTGGTCCTGTAATGTGCGTATTCTGCTCGGTGAGGTCTCTGGACTAATGCATTCAGCACTTTTCATCTTGCAAAGCACTTTACAGACATTAACTTAGCTTTGCAAACCCTGCTGTGAGCCAGGAAAACATGGCTGGAACCAGTCAGTATCAAAGCAAGGATTAGCGCTCAGGCATTGCCGGTTCCCAGCCCTACGTTCAGATCATTAGATCGGTGGGCTGCCCCCCAGCACGAAACACTAATAAAAATACTCCTTTGTCAAGCAGAAGGTTTGATCGGTGGGCTAGAGCTGCATGTAATAAGAATTAACACCTAGCTTTTGTAAGGCACTTTCTAGCTGTAGAGCTCACTGATCCATAGATTACCGATGGGGAAACTGAGGCCCAGAGCAGGCATGTGAGTTGCTAGCAGAGCCAGGAATAGACTCCAGGTCTCCTGACTCCCACACCCTGGCCACTGGACTAGACTCCCTCCTTTAGACACACGTGTCTGGAGTGGAGGTGGGCTTGTGAGCATTCTGTAGCATGCAGAGATGGAGCAGGAGACTAGTCAGATGTGAAATACATTGCCAGTGTGGTAGGATTGTAGCATCCAGGAAGGGGATTGGCCAATTGGGAACAGCTCCTCTTTGTACCCATTGTATTGTGCCGGGTGCCAAGTGCTTCCCTGGTGACGGCATGCGCAGAGGAGAATGGCAAGTGAGGTTTCTGCCAGGGCGAGCCCGCCGGCTGGAAATCCTCGCAGGGGAGTATTGGAAACCTCGCCAGCCACACCCTGCTTCTCTTTGGTTCTTCTGGCTGCTTGCTGAGTTGGTCAGCGCTGTGGAGAGTCAAGATTCAGCCTGGCGCCAGCCTCCAAGGGGCACATGGCTGAGATACGAACGCAGCACCGGGTCTCTGCACCAGCTGCTGCTACCAGATGGGCGCCTCCCACAAACCACTAGTTGTCCTGTCACTGAACCGCGCAGGCTACGGAGCTGCTCAGGAAACGCACAGACCATTGGAAAGGTGCGGGGAGGATACTGGCCCTGAGGAATTTCTCCCTCTCTGGATGGGCTGTTTGTAATGGCAGAGAAAGCTCAGCCCTGGGGTAAAGGAACGGGGTTGTAAAGAGGAACAGTAGTACAGCAGCAATGACCTCAGCTGGGGCAGTGGAGGGGAGGGTGGGTGTGATGATGTGCCCAGTCTACCAGTGACTAACTCTTCTTCCTTTCTTTCTTAGGTACAAGGGCTTCATCAAGGACTGCCCCAGCGGACAGCTGGACGCAGCTGGCTTTCAGAAGATCTATAAGCAGTTCTTTCCCTTTGGCGACCCAACGAAGTTTGCAACCTTCGTTTTTAACGTCTTTGATGAAAACAAAGTAAGTCGGTGACTGGCAGCAGCTGAGCTCCCCTGGCCCTCAGTGCACACCCCTCTCACCCGCCGGGAGCTGTGTGGTTTAGGATACCACGAAATGTCTTATACAGTGACACCCGCTCACTGTTCAGTCCTTGAGTGCGAAAATCCGAACGTTCGCTTCCCGGGGTAGGAAACAGGGCTGCCCAGAGGGGGGGGCAAGTGGGGCAATTTGCCCCGGGCCCCACAGGGGCCCCCACGAGAATATAGTATTCTATAGTATTGCAACTTTTTTTTATGGAAGGGGCCCCCAAAATTGCTTTGCCCCAGGCCCCCTGAATCCTCTGGGCAGCTCTGGTAGGAAATTTCAAGCGGAGAAGCTTTAGCAGCAAGTCCCCGCGCTCGCTCTACTTTGTGATTCTCAAGGGGGCAGCGGATAGTCCGCGAAATGCGAAAGAGGAAAAAGGAGACATTTGGTGTTGCTAACAGAGGCCCATCGGGCGGACCGTCCCTTACCCGCTAAATCCGCCAGAAGTATCCGCGGCAGGAATTGGCCAGAGCTGGAGGTTTTACGTTGCCAGCCAGATCAGGCTTTTTACAGACAAGCTGCAGCGGAAATAAATGTTTGCAATTCCCTTCTCCTTCATCTCTCGCCTCTGTCCTGGTGGCGACGGCTCTCTTCCCTGTTCAGAGGGCGAGTGCCCGTCCGTGCCTGGATCCTGTCAGACTCCGCAGTCACCTGGGACTGTTTGCACAGAGTTGCTGAGGAGACAACCCTGGAGCCCTGCTCTGCTGAGGCCAGTCAGCAGCAGCCTTTGCCAGGAGCCCTCCCTCCATTTTGGATGCAGAAGGGTTCTTGCTCCTGTTCAGTAATTCTCCCATTTGTTTTTCTTCTGCAGAGAATTTCATGGGTGGGAGAGAGACCCTGCCATAGGCCCAAAGCACCTGACTCCACCATCCCTCAGCTGCAGTTTGTTCTGCAGGCTGCCAGGACTTGTTAAAGTTGGGGCAGGGGGGAAGAGGACTCTAACTTTGTACATGTTTACCCCACCCCCTGACATCCCTCTCCTCTGGTCACGAAGGGTATGTCTCCAGTGCACCCTGAGCCCGGGTTGGCGGGACCTGGGCTTGTGGACTTGGTGTTTCCCTGCCCGCACTTGAGTGTCCCACTGCATTGTTAGCCTGGGTTTACGATGGTCAGACCCGGGTCTCACAGCCGTGGGAACGTGTCCATGTGGCACTACGCCAACCTTCTCATGGGTCTGCCGCTTGGGCTGCATCCACACTGCAAAAGGACAGGGCTTGGACGTGAGTCACGGCAGGACACAGGCTCTGACACTCCTTCCCCCCCGCAGGGTCCTGGGCACTTGCTGACCCGAGTCAAACTGATTTGTGTGTGGACAGAAGTGGGGCTTGGGCTCAAACCTGAGTCAGAGCCTGGCCTTAGTGCACAGTGTAGACATTCCCGAAGTTACACCGAATGTAGACTGCCTGGGCCTGTTCCCCACTGTCTTCGTTTACAGACGCGCAAAGCAGCTGTAAAACGCTCTAAGATCAGAATGGTACAAGGCAATAGCTGTTGAGACTCTGTTACATGCCCACTGATGGCAGCATAACTTGCACCATGTCTCCTCCGGATTTGGCCCTGGGATTGGAACTCACAGCAGAGAAGGGATCAGTGAAACTCCGCTCAGAGAAATGGAGTTGCTCCACCAGTCGGGATACCAGGGAGCTGCTCCCCGTCCACAGAATCAGGTGCCTGACAGTGGAGTTTGGTGCCCAGCATCCTGTCCTCTCTCTTACCAGCTGATTATTCCCCAAGCACCAAGAGTAACTTGACCTGTTACTCTACTGGATCATAGCTGTGGACAGGGGTCACCTGAGCAAGATCGAGTGATGGAGCCCCACGAGCAGGAATGCAATTAACCCCGCTTGCGTCACCACCGTGAATCAGCAGCGCTGTGTCTGAATGGAACAGGCCTGTTTGGGACTCCACATGTGTTTGCATGCACGATTCATAGGCGCGGGCACACACGTGTAGCCATACAAACCTCGGCCCATGTGCTTTTGACGTGTATATCACTCCAGATCTCTCTTTCCCTTCTCAGGATGGGAGGATCGAATTTTCGGAATTCATCCAGGCGCTGTCGGTCACTTCCCGAGGGACCCTGGATGAGAAACTGCGGTGTAAGTCCTCAGTTCAGTTTGAAACCAGGAACTGCGTCTCTCTGTCTGTCCCCCCACTTCCGCCCTTGAGCCCAGAATAGCAAGAGGCAGCCATGCAGTGAGCATCTGCCCAAGCAGGGAAGAGCTCTGGAGAGGGGTCTCACTGGGTATGTCTAACCTGCAGCCGGGAGCGAGGCTCCAGCCGGCCCACAGACTGGGGCTAGGGGAGCTCCCACTCGCAATCTAAGAATAGCTGCGTGGGCGTTGCTTGAACGCTGTGGCTCGGGCTGGAGTTGGGGCTCTCAAGCCCCGGCACCATTCTGCGGAGTCCGAGGCGGAACGTCACAGCAGTGCCCACACGGCTCGTTTCCGTGCGCTAGGGCGAGCTCCGCTAACACAGAGCTGGGGGGACGCTCACGTCCAGTTGCAGTGTAGAGTCTGTTGCGCCAGGGCTCTGTCTTGGGATCTCATTGCAGGCGTTGGCCTCGTACAGCCCTAATTAAAACAGGGAGACACTCGCCGGGGTGCAGGAAGGGAGGTTCCCAGAGGAGAGAGCTGGGCGCTAACTTACTGTGTGTGCATTAAGGTGCTTAGGAAACCTGGCGGACTGACAGCCCTGCAGAACGGGGGCCTCTCTTTATCCACAGCACAGGTCCAGTGCAGGCGGCAGCAAGGCAGGGCTCCCCCTCGCTGCCCCACTATTCTGCCCCTGCCCGCAACTTGAAGGTCCTGGCCTGGGGCGTGGGGGCCAATCAGTCTCCAGGACCCATTCAGTTCTTGGCCTCTGAGTTGAGACTGGCCAGGGAGTGCCAGTGACGTCTGTGCCCTGGGAAGTGGTCCCCAGGAGATGGCTTGTTCCTGGCACAGACAGGCCACTAAGAGCCGTCAGACTCTGCTGCCAGCCCAACCTGCGTTCACACTGGGTGCTGCCTGCCCGCTGGCGCCCGGCGCGTCCTCAGTAATTCAGTGTCACTCTTGGTTTCAGGGGCGTTTAAACTGTACGACTTGGACAACGATGGTTACATCACGAGGAACGAGATGCTGGACATCGTAGACGCTATTTATCAGATGGTGGTGAGTGTCCGGGGGAGGGGGAGAGGATGCGGGGGGAGAGTGCTCCGCAATCCCACTCGCATTCAGATCCGAGCGGCAGATTCTGATGCAGTCCCCAGGAGTGCAGCAGGCCTGTCCGGGAGTCAATTAGCATGGCTCCAACGGGCAGAGTGAGGCAGGACGTGGGTAGCCCCCGTGGCAGGTCACCCCCCCTGCTTTTGTGGATATGGAGGGGGTTGAGGTGGGGAAGAGCAGGACAGCCTCCTGGATAACTCCTCCCCCTAGAGAGCAGGGTGCAGCAGAGGTGGCTTCCGACCTGAGGCTCCTGTCGTGAGCATGTGACCCCCATCAGCATCACTTGGCTGCACAGCTGGCTGTGGGAGGCTTGTGTTCCCTCCCCGCCTTCCGAGACTGCTGCAGCCCCAGGTCCCAGTGCTGCTCCAAGTGGGGGCAGGGATCGGATCTGGCCCTTCGCTAGGAGTCTCCTGTGACTGGGATGCACGTGAGGTCGGCTGCGGCGGAGAGAGCAGGCTTTCTGCAGAGCGGATGGAGCCGCCCAGAACTGGCCCGAGGGGGCTCAGCTCTAGACCGGGGCATTCTTCACCTAATGCACAGAGAGAGTGAGACGCAGAGTCCCCCTAGCACCGAGGATGCAGCCCGGCCACAAGCAGTAAATGTGCGTAAGTTACGCTCTCTCCTGTCCCTACAGGGAAATACGGTAGAGCTTCCAGAAGAGGAAAACACACCTGAGAAGAGAGTGGATCGGATTTTCGCTATGATGGACAAGGTGAGACTCGATGGCAACTCTGGTGTGTTTTCTCCTCACCTCTAGGGGGCGGCGGCTGTCACAAGCCCCGCTCCTCCATCTCCCAGAGTGGGTCCCGCTCCCCCGACAGGTGCTGTGTACCATGAAACCCCCCGGCCTGTAGTCGTCTCCTCTCACTGTGGACACAAAATCTCGCCTATGCAGCCTGCTCAAAGCTTCTGCAGGGCTGGTGGGAGCCCCAGCTACTCAGGGCCTCTCGTCATCGGGTGTGACACGACGCCACATTTGTCAGTGAACCATCAGTCCCTGATCTAGACTTAGCCCAGTGGAGGGGATGTTTGCCGTACAGTTTCTTCCTGCTTCCCCCCTGCCCGTGAGCGTGGATTCTTGACCCCAGGCTGGCCTGACCAGGTGTGGAGGTGACGGGTGATCTCATTTCAATGCACAGCTGATTCAGCAGAGGGCTTAAACCCCAGTGGAGACTTAGAGCAAAGCCTGGGCTTGGGCGCTTGGCTGAATCCGCCTCTGGCAGGCTGGCACTTTGGGCTGGACTCCGCCCTGCTGGGCTAGAGCGGTGTCACGCCCAGGGGTGAAGTGGGATTTGCCCAGGTGTGTTTCCATCACCGCCGGCTCTGGGGGAAGGGCAGCCTTTGTTTCTACTGGAGGGCCAGAGGAGGCTGCCGAGTGGACCAGCGTAACTATCCCCTTAGCCGTAACCCCTCCCCAACCAGGGTGGCCAACTTTCCAGGCCTACTCTTGCCCACCTGCCCAGTGAGGGCTGCAAGGGCCAGTGGGGCAGCGCCAGAGGAATGAGGGGCCCTTCGAATCCACTCCTCAACGTGCACACGAGGCAGTAGAGAATTGGGGTAGATATCAGGGATGGGGCAGAGTCAAGCGGGGGCCGGGTCCAAATCTATCTGAATTTCCTTGGAGTTTGGGGTGAGGGGTGTTTGGCTCAAAGCTGTCTCTCTTTAATACCAAGCACAGATTTTTCCTCTGGGTCCAGGGCATTTCAATAAAACAATTGCTTGCAACCTATTGGCCATCGCCAGCTCTCACGGCCATTGCCTTTCAGAATGCCGACGGGAAGCTAACGCTGCAGGAGTTCCAGGAAGGCTCCAAAGCCGACCCGTCCATCGTACAGGCCCTGTCCCTCTATGATGGACTCGTATAGTCCCGGGATCCCAAGCTGAGGTAAGCCGAGCAAGGTGGCAGTGCTGGGGATCTCTGTTTATTGTAAGCAGAACTGGTGGTGCTGCCTAGACTTACGGTTGCCGGACACTGCCTATTTTCAGTTGCTTATAACTTTGCCAAACTTTAACTGTCTGAGCTAAAATTTTCTGTGCTGCGTGTTTGCCTCATGCTGAACTTTTGGGGGAGGGGGGAAGTTTCAGTTGAAACAGCTCAGCCATTTCCTAGAATGATGCTAGGAAAAAATACGTTATATTGCCCGTATTAAAAATAGTCTTGCAACTGTTTAATTGAAAAGGCCTAGCGCCCCCATGCTTTGGAGAAAGAGCTTGAAATTTGGCAGGTGGTTGGCCTTTATGTCAGGACTGTGCCTTGGCCACCCCCGTTAAAATCCACCCAAATATGGTCACGTTATAAACCTTTGAAAAAAATCTCTGCTTCCACATGCACAGTAGAGACTTGTTAGAGTTTGGCAGCTAAAGTCTCCAAAGATTCCATCTTTACTGAGCACGCTCCAGCCTCTCACAGCTCTTATGTGGTGACTAGACTGTGCAGGTGCCATTCCGTACGGTTGCCTGACACTGCACATTTTCAGTTGCTTCTAACTTTTCCAGGAATTGATCAGGGGTTGCAGGGACTAAGCAGGACTTTCCTTACATAAGAGCGGCAATATTGGGTCAGACCAATGGTCCACCTAGCCCAGTATCCTGTCTTCCGACAAAAACAACAAGCAGTACGGTGGCACCTTAAAGACGAACACATTTATTTCGGCATAAGCTTTCGTGGGTAAAAAACCTCACTTCTTCAGATGCATGGAGCATGTCTTCTGACAGTGGCTAATGCCAGATGCTTCCAAGGAAATGAACAGAACAGGGCAATCATTAAGTAATTGGACTGTCATCCAGTCCCAGCATCTGGGACAATTGCTCCTCATGGTGCTGGGGTCTGTTGTGGTGCCGGGCCCAGGAACTGAGAGTGGGCAGACAGTCTCTTCTGTGCTGTCAATGCTAGAACATAAGAACGGCCATACTGGGTCAGACCAATGGTCCATCTAGCCCAGTGTCCTGTATGCTGACAGTGACTGGTGCCAGATGCTTCAGTGGGAATGAATAGAACAGGGAAATTTCAAGTGATCCATCCCCTGTCATCCAGTCTTAGCCTCTGGTAACTGGAGGTTTCAGGGCACCTTGAGCATGGGGTTGCGTCCCTACCCATCTTGGCTAAGAGCCATTGATGGATCTATCCTCCATGAACTTACTAATTCTTTTGTGAACCCAGTTATACTTTTACATTTCACAACATCCTCTGGCAATGAGTTCCATAGGTTGACTGTGAGTTGTGTGGAGAAGTACTCCCCTACGTTTGGGCCTAAGTAACATGGAGTTAGCAGCAGGAGGAAGCAGCCACATTAGAATGCAGAGAGGTGAGGAACAGGGAGGAGGGCACAGGAGCCAGGAGGTAAGGGAAAGCAGAGGAAGAAGTGGACAGTGCAGTCTGGGCTATTCCTCAAGGGCTATTCCTCAAGCATTGTGAGGTGCCCCAGGGATGAGTGGTCTCTGTCAGGGAAAGTTTGGCAGCGTCCAGAGAGTGGAATGAGCTGGACCAAAGCCATGGACGTCACCCCGGTGTCCCTGTCAGGATGGTGCTGGGATTCCATCCAGGGGCTCAGAGGAACCTCCTCCAGCACATCTCAGTTCTCTTTGGCTGTAGAATAGTACCCTGAAGATTTGAGCATCCTAGCACTTAGAGACCATGCTAATAGCCCTAGAAAAAACCCAGACATCACTTGGGACTTTGAAACTAGGCTGGGGTAAAGTTTGGGGAATGCACTGGAAGGAGCATGCCTGTGTTGCCAGGAAGATGGGGCAGATATGAGGTCCAAGGTCTCCTCCATCTCTGACCCTCACAATTCCATAATTCAAGCCACACGCTGATGCAGCGTGAGGGCCGAGCAAAACCTGTGGTGGGTTCGTTTATTTTTGTACCCCTTTACCAGGCTGGTTCTTATTTTGCCACATCTGGGGTGGGTGGGGAGAGGGCTCAGACCCAGGGCTAGTCCCTACACCCAGATTTGAGAAGGGGTCTCCAAGAAATGATGCTGAATTCAGCCCATCTCTGCATAACATGCCCTCTTTCTTGCTGCTTTTCAAGCAGGGGCATGTTATTGGAATGGGGGGACCGGCACTAATTCGATTGGCGGTAGCTGCAGATGCTGCCTTCCCTGCGCATTATGTTCTCCTCTGAGCCCTAACTCTGCCTCTTTCCATCTGGGCTCGGCTGTTTTTAAGGCGGTATGTAGCAAACTCTAGTGGTGAACACGCACAAAGGAAAATGCAATATTGTCAGAAGGGAGCTAGTCGGGAATGCAGGGCAAGCTCCAATGGGGGCCCGGTGGGGCCCTGAACTCAGCAGCAGCCACCTGGCCTAGGGAAAGCTGCTCTTCAGGGCTTTGTGTGCAGTGGTGCAAAGAAGAAACTAAGCTGGAGAAGCCAGAGGCTGGAAGGGAGGAGAAGACAAACTCTTTAGTGAGTTACTGGGGGACGAGCGATTGTTAAACTTGGATCTAGTTGGTTCCAAACTCCCCTCTTGGGAGCTTTATAATTCCTACCACCCGATGGGGGAGTCGATTCCTTCCTACGACCTTGGGGGACAATCGCAAACACGCTTTCTGATTTTCAGGCATCCACAAGGACTGTTGTACACGATGATACAGTAAAACCTGCCTCGCTGTAAAGGCTTTTAAACCAGCAGGGTCCGTGGTGTGACTCACCCGGTAGCCGCGATGGAAGAGCCCCAGAGGCAGTTTGCAAAATCTGGGGATTGGGGAAGGCACTCGTGTGCTAAGCATCAGGAGCACAACTGGCAGGGTGTAATATTGAATAGCCCCCGCACATCAATATTCTGCAGCATTAATCATATGGGTTATTATTGAATTTTATCTGTGTATTGTGGGAACACACAGGGTCTGCACAGATGCAGCCCTTGCCCCAAAGAGCGCACATTAAGAAATGTCTCCGAAATATTGAATTACAACAGAAAAGTGGGGGTGGGAACCATCAACATTTTCACCCAGAAATTCCTCCGTCTCCCCCTTGGAATTCTTCAGATTTCATAACTTGGATGATGTTTCCCATTTTTGAAATTTTAAGCCCCCAGAAATGGGGGGGGGGGGGATTTCAAATGGAGGCAGCAGATTTCCCCCCGTTTACCCAACCAGCTCAACATTGCCAACAGCAAGCTTTCAGAAACTGGCGAGGTGCTAATAAACCAAGAGATTTAAAAAAATAATAAACTTTAGGTTCTGGCGTTGGAGCCTTGGATGTGTGTGGGGGAGTGTCATATTTCCAAACTTTTCTCCACAGCCAGGATGGCAAGAAACATCCTTTCTATTTTCAGTCAAAGCATAGAATAGAGTCTCACAAGAATCACCTGACTCCAGGAGCTGGGTCCTTAAGAAAAAAAAAAAGATGGCAGGACTTGGGATAAAATTATACGAGTTGGCAAGACTGACTTATCAATAAATTTCTTCTTATCTCTAGTTTTGTTGATTTAAACACAAGTTGACTTGCTTTCTCCTCTTCCTCCCCAACTTCTCTTTCAGTTGCCTGGGGGAAGATTCTTTCTGTGCCATCAGACCACCTCAGTAAAGAAGCTTGCCTGTCCCTCTCCAGCCTTCCTTTATGTTACACGAACAAGGGAGGCGCTTGAAGTGTGAGGTCATCCCCCGCACCCACTCTGCACTCTGAATTAACCGTGTCCATTTGCCAACTTCCGCTTTCTCAACAACAACAACAACAAAAGGGAAAAAAAAGAAGAAAAAAGAAAGGAAAAAAATAGAAAAAGAAAAAACAGCGAATTATTCAGCTTCTGGGGGTGGAAGGGATCATGCATCGCTGTGTGGAGACCCCTCCCGCCTCTCGCTTTTACTTACTTCGATTTTTTTTTTTTTTTTTTTTTATAGATTAAAAACACTAATTTTTTTACATTGTTTTCATAGAAAAGCGCAGCATGAAGCAGGAGCCTAAAGGTTCTGTTGAGGTCTTGGAGCGGGCGGCTGCTGCACGCCGTCCGAGTGCTTGATCGCCATCGGCTTCTGCTTTATCAGCGGGGGGGGACGAGGGGATGGACGATAAAAGGCGATTGGAAATGAAAGTGCCACATCCCCTGCGTCTCCAGCAGCAGCCCAGCCCGCGGCGCTAGGGAGAGCTGTATAGTTTCTGTGATACAGTATTGTGCGCTTTTTTTTTTTTTGGATGGAAAAAGTGAGGCTTTCGTGACTGTGCCTCTCTCTGTTATCGATAGCTTTATTTATTTGTTGTAACCGTTGCTGCTGTGTTTAGTCTTTCGTGGGTTGAAACACCGAGGTGATAAAAGTTGCAAGGTTTACACATTATGGCAGGGGGAGGTAGCCTGCGATTGCAGTGAAGCCAAAAATATTCTCCCTCCACCCCCACCCCCGCCCATATACTGTGCTTTGTCGGCTGGTTGATGTTTTACAGGGGATAATCTAACCCCCTTCTCCTTATTCCCATACCTCTAGTCCCTGCACCCTGCCCCCCCCTTCCTTCTCTTTAGAAACTCAGCTACTACCCCTGACAAATCCCCAGGCTTGGACTGAACGCTCTCCTCCCCTCAACAAGCTGTATTTCTGTGGCCCTTATGCATTCCTTTTGCCATCTTGCCTTTGTGTAAAGCAGAATGATGAAATATACAGTATCCAGACATTTTTCTGCATGAAAAGTATTAATGGGGCCAATATTGTTTGAGCTTTAAAAGGACCCTTCTTTTTGGAAAATCCTGGGACTGTCGTGTCTCTGTCTTGCGGGGCGGATGGGGAGTTAAAAAAATGGAACTGTATTACGTCCTTGCTAAGCCTCCAGGAGGTGGGGAGCCTGGAGTCCCTGTGGGCTGAGAACAGAGATGGCCGGTTGATTGTACAGTGTAATGTTTTTGAAAAGAACCAGCAGGTCAGTGGAGCTTAGGAGAGTTGTCTAAGCAAACTACAATTCATAGCTGTTTAAGGCAAAACCCAAAGCCTTGACGCTGTCCAGAGCTACACGGTGCCGCTTAGTGTCCTGGAGAAGGAGGAGGAAGAATGGCTATAGCCTCTTAGCGTTTTGCCACGTTTGCGCTCGTTTGGTAGTTTTAAAGTGCTCCTGCGTTTTGCTCTTCGGGCCGTGCATTGAGAGAAGTCTTGTTCAGTGGGTCACATCCATTCCTACGGCGCCCAGTTTGGGTCACAAAGATGGACCTGAGCTTTGATCAACAGGAAAACAATCAACAAAACAAATCCGGCTTTGCCCCCTCCCCCATTTCTGCTTGGTCTATCTCCACCTTTGGGCGAAATGGAATAGCAGAATAGACGCACAGTAGCAAACGCACCCAAGACTAGGGCAGGCATTTTGTATGATGGGGCTGGAACGGAAAGCCTCCTGCAGGTTTCCCTAGGAAGGTTTGTGCGGTGCCTGTACACAGAGCAATTGTCAAGTGCACCATAAACATCAGAGACCTTTGCCTTTCCACCCACGTTTTTGGTCGTGCACCCAGAGGTTGGTGCATTCCCCTGTTGTGCTAGCTAGCCGCAGTGTTTCTAAGGCTCTGATCACCATGGGATCCAAACACCAGGCATTGTTCTGCTTCAGACTGTGGGTAACAAGAACAGCTGCAGAGTAATGGATTGGGAGGCAGGAGGAAGAATCTGCTCTTGGGTTCTCCCAGGCAGTACTTGAAACCTCTCAGGGGAAACCTGTGAAAAGGGCAGTGACTCCATCTTTCAGAGCCGAAATTGCTTTTTCTGTATATAAATCCCAGTCACTGTGCCAAGCACTGCTTCCCCTTCCTTCCTTCCTCTCCCACCATATCCCTACAGTGTAACCAGTGCAAGCCGTGCTTTGCCAGAGATGATATACAGCCCAGGTGACCCAGATTTGGCACTCGAATGCCTGCAGGGTGGTGAATGTGGGTGCCTCTTTGCACAGGGGCAGATATCCATAGGAGGGGTGTCTCCTGTCTCCGTAGTCGGGCAGACTTCGAGATCGTCCACACACCAGAGCTACATAGATTTGAAACATGAACTCCGGCTCCAAAAACAGCTGACTTCAGTCGCTGGAACTAAAGCAGAAATGTCCATTAGCTGTCACCAGCATTAAGGCTTCTCTTCTGCGTAGGCTGCGCTAGGGGCGATATGGGGACACACAGTCGAGTAAGGTCTGATTCCGTCCAGCCGTGACGCATTTGCACTAGCTTGTACATAACACTGGCTTTCTTCCAGTACTTTGCATTCCATGTTCAGTTCTCCATGTGTCACAGAGCACAGATGTTTTAGGATGGCAGCTGCCCCTCAATCCCTGCTTGCGATACCCGGGTTGTGGAAGCACAAGAGCTTTTGGCCTATCACAAGCTGTGGAAACCAGGAAGGCTTTTCTCCACAGTCTGTGTCCTCTCTTTACCGCCACGCAGTTACGGTGGAAGTTCTCCGAATCCTGTTCCAGAAGAAAGAAGAGTCAGCTGGTATTGTAACTTTCTAGAGCGCCGCCTGTTTTCTTGTTTTTTTTGGCGTGAAACGAGAGGGGAGTGCTCTACCCGCACATTCATCAGTGTAAGCAACTGCATCTGCCCTGCATTTTGCATTTAATACCCCAGTACCTTTTCTTTGGGTGGAGCTGGAAGTTATTTCTCATTATGTGGTTATAATGATGTCCTTCATCCTTCCCAGCGAGGTCACCCACGCTTTCCAGAGCTGTATTTTCAGCTACTGGGTCACAAATGCAGCTGGTATAAATCACTCCACTGACTTCCAGGGAGCAACTCTGATCGACAGCAGCTTGAGGACTGATCCCTGATGTTTGGGCAGCATTGGGTGGGAGGTCTCCTGGCCCACAGAACACCAAGCCCAAAGGCCTGGGCTGTGATCAGCACTTCGGAGCTGTCTGCAGTAGCCTCAGCCAGCCCAAGGTCCAACCAGCAAATCAAGGATTTTAAACAGCAGAGGTGGCAGGGGTGGAGAATTAACTCCAGGTGAACTGTACACGTCAATTTTGGCTCCAAGTCTGGAATTTTCAAATCCCATTAGTACCTAACTCCTAAATCCCATCCCTAGTGCAGAGTGGCCATCTATCTACGGTGGCTATTTATTCCCCACCCCCTGACCCAGCACTGGTAAAGAACTCTTGTCTTCTCCTACAGCTGCGTTCCATTTGTAACAATCACACAGAGCACTCAAACATCCCATCTGTATCGTTCTTAAGGACCATCCCCTTCCACATGTTTCTCTCACTGGTATCGGAAAAGCACAAAGTGTGGGAAGTAGCATGATCTATTTGGTTGCTTGTTAAACTGAGCTGCCAGCGATTGATTTGTGTGCACATCCGGCTTGCGTACGTCCAGACAGAACTTGGTCAGTATGCTGCGTCACGGACCTAGCTCCAGATCTAGCTTGAGGGCTTGGGGATGACTCATGCATTAGCAGGTCAAGAGAGAGAGATTTTGGGGGGAGAACCACAAAACTGCGTATTTTTGTTCCCCTCCAAGGCACCAGTCATGCAGTGAGGCCGGAGACCGTCCACTGATGGGTTGCGAATCCCATGGAGTGCTTAGCTCGACTTGAAAATGTGGTAGGAATGTCCGTTTCCCCTCTTGTTCTATTCACCAGCTAGGCTGGATATTCTGGATCGGCTCTGCTATAACTGATTCCTCCAGATAGAGGCCTCAAGCCAGAAAAGCACATGCTTAGGTCCACCTTTATTCAGGAAATCACTTAAGCAGGTGCTTAATTTTCATTCCTAAATAGAGATGAGTCCCTGGATTGGGGCGTGAATGATTTCTGTCATTACTTAAAATAATAACCAGCCTCTTCAGTAACTCCTGATCCTGAAAGCCCCAGGGGTGGAATGTTCTGAAACCAACATGGTTCCACTAGGAAATGATCCTGTATGAGAAGATACATATTGTACAGAAATAGCATCAAGACACTGCAGTTCTGTATGGTGAGAGGTTTTGTCTTGGGGCTTTGACTATGGGCTACTGTGGTATTGTTTTGTAAGGAGGGACCCATTGACTGTGACACTTCTTGAGGAGACTTGATCAACCTTAGGGAAACTCACCAAGCAACTGCTGCGTTTTATGGCAGGACAAATTCTGACCTCATAGGGCCTGATCCTGATCCCACTAAAATCAATGGGCCAGATCTTCAGCTGGTGTAGAGTCAGTGGCTCCATTGATTTTGATGGAGCTATGTCAGTTTATACCAGCTGAGGTCTGGCCCAGTGTGACTTTTGCATTGACTTCAAGAGGAGCAGGACCATAATATGAATCTGTTAGAGCCATTGCAATAGGGTTTTGAAGGTGTCGGAGGGCCCTGAGCTTTTCCTGGGTGCTGCTGGCTCTTTTGGAAAGCTTTGCTTGAAATAAAGGAAGCGAGACAAGGAATTGAACTCATTTACCATGTTCTCTGTAAGGGGACACAAGTTGTTTTTACACCCAAGAGCAAGGCCTCTCTCCCTTTGCAGCTGGGAGTTGGCTGGCTCCTGCTTTTCCCTACAATCTGATACGTTACAGGGATGGATGGGTGAAGAATGGAACATACCATCCCGGTCGTTCCAAGGGAAACTCAATTCCCCTGCTGCTTTGTGGCCAGAATGCTCTTGTTTTTTGGTAGCTCTCTGCGGTGCCGCCTGGCTCACCCTTTCTTCCCCCCAGGCTGGTCCCTTTCTGATACCGACTGGCGTTTAAGGTGAATGTGACACTTCTGTAACTTCCCCTGCTGATAACTAACTAACCGCACAAAGTTTATAACAATAGCCAGGCAAGTGTGAATGTATTTGTTCTGGCACTTTCCTCGGACAGGCTTTTAAGTTTGGCAGAGGCTTTTCACCTTCCAGTTCATTGTATGAAGGAGCCACCGTATTTCAAGGGACACTCTATCATTGGTCCAGCTC